CTTACTTGGGCTACAAGTCAAACAAATGGAAGACTCAATATTCATATCTCAAAGTAAGTATGCAAAGAGTATATTAAAGAAGTTTGGGGTGGAGAATGCTAGTCACAAGAGAACACCTGCTTATACTCGCTTGAAGCTCTCTAAAGATGAAAAGGGTGTTAATATGGATCAAAGTCTCTATAGAAGCATGATAGGTAGCTTGTTACACCTTACAGCCAGCAGACCTGACATTACATTTTCAGTAGGTGTTTGTGCAAGATATCAAGCTAAACCTAAGATGAGTCATATCAATCAAGTGAAGAGAATATTGAAGTATGTAATTGGCACATGTGACTATGGCATGTTATACTCTCATGGATCTGATTCCATGTTGGTGGGATATTGTGATGCAAATTGAGTAGGTAATGCTGATGATAGAAAAAACACCTTTGGTGGATGTTTTCTCTTAGAAAAAAACCTTATTCCTTGGTTCAGTAAGACGCAGAATTGTGTGTCCTTATCCACTGCTGAGGCTGAGTATATTGTAGCAGGACTGTTCTCAGCTACTTTGGATGAAGTTGATCCTGAAGAAGTACAATGTCAAGACATTATACTGTGACAACTTGAGTGTTATCAACATCTCCAATAATCATGTTCAACATAGCAGGAGAAAACATATTGACATTCGTCATCATTTTATCAGGGAGCTTTTTGAAGACAAAGAGTCATTTTGGAACATGTAGCCACTAAGAAGCAATTGCCTGATATCTTTACTAATGCTTTTGATGTAAATTAGTTTGAGAAACTAAGGGGTGAACTGGGAATTTTCATTTTTGAAGGATTATAGAAATTAGTCTTGATTATAGAGGATACTAGGCATAGGAGAAAGCTGGTGTCAAATTTATGCCTAAAAAGGGGAGTAGTGGTAGTGGTGATGGTAGTGTGGAGCATGGAATTAATGATGATCATCCCTAATTTTCTATGTTTTCTTGTGTTGTTGGGAGGTCTTTTTGGGTGGTACTAGGATGTCATTCTATATGTTCTGACATCATTTAATCATGTGTCTGGGAGTTGTGTGGTTATGTTCTTAAGGGTGAGCTTTGTGGCAGGGGGAGTTCTGTTGATTCTTTTATGTTAGACAAGATGTCTTGACATTATATTTAGTTTTGTTTGCTAAATTTTTGGCTATGAAATTCATGGGGAGTTCTTGTTGTTTTATGATTAAGTTTTTTTTTTGAAGTTCTTGGTTCTTGTTGTGTGTGAGAGTTTAATTCTCTTTGTGAGGTCCCTTTTATTTATGTTGAGTGTGCCTCTAATTTTTCTAGTGTGATTTTGGTTATCTTGTGTTTTTTGTTGGTTCTTCATGCAAAGGTTATTTTAGCCAAAATTTTCCAAATAGGGAGATTGTAAGTTTTATGGTTTTTAGTTTGACAGCAACTTTGTTAAAACAAGTTCACAGCAAGATGTTGAGACAAATGTCTTGACAGGACAGTCAGACATCATGATTAACGTGATGTTGGAACATCAAGCAAGACATGTTATACTAGAAGTTTAGGGTTGAGACAATTTGGTATTTAAAGTGTGAGATTTGATAGTATCTTAATTCACACAGTGTCGCAATCCAAGGAGGGATATTTGAGGAACTTCTGTCTTGACAGATTTGCTTGTATTTCATAAAAAGGATCTTGGAGCCTTTTTAGGAAACTTTCCATTCAATTCCTATTTTTGTGCAGAAGATCTTGCTGAAGATTTGAAGCTGTTATTTTGTGATTTGTGTTTTATTCAATTGAAGAGCCCCAACCCATGTTGTTTTGAAGGCTATTTAAAGAGGAGTTCTAAACCTAATGAAGTAATGAAGTCGTGTATTGAGAGAATGAGTTTTAGGGTTTAGAGAGTTTTATTTTTATTATTTGTTCTTTGTGATCCTCTCTTATGTCTTTTGACATTTGAGTTAGATTGTTTTGTTTGTGCATTTGTGAGTCATTCATGTACTCCTTAGGTACTTGAATTGGACTGTGTTTTGAGTTGTAATCACTCCTAAGCTTTTAAGCAAAGAGTGGATTTTTCTGTGTCTTTGGAAGTGTGACTTCCAGTTTTACTTATTGTTGAGTTTGTCACTGTTGTGTGACTAATGGAAAGTGAGAAAGGTCTTATATCTAGGAGTTCCTATGTAGAAGTTAGCACGGTTAGTAATTAGGTGAGAAACTTGTAAACCTGTGGGTGTTGGCTATGGCTTTGAACTAGTACTATTATAGTGGATTTCCTTCCTGACTTGGATGCCCCCAGATGTAGGTGATGTTGTACTGGACTGGGTTAACAATTGACTATATTATTATTTTCATTCAAGCTTTTAGTTTTTTTGCATAAGTGTTGTTTGCTATCTTGATCCCGGTGTCCTGACATTTGTCTTGATATCTGGTATCTGTGTTCCAGAATTTCAAAAACCTCCACCCATACACCCTATCAACAATAACACTTTCCTTGATGATATAGAGACCTATAGTTCTCCCATTACCCCTACTATTGACATTCACTCTCCTGCTCATGATAACAATAACTATATCCCTTCTCCTCAATCAGCCCAACAATCCATCAACCCTCCTTCTGTTAACCTGCCCCCTCATACACCTCATGCTGCTTCTATTAACCTTACTTCCCTTAGAAAATCCTTCAAAGAATCCAAACCACCCTCATAGCTTTAACATTATCACTACACTCTTCTACAAGATAATATAGAATCTCCATCTTCCTCTATCCCATGTAATCTATTATATCCTATTTCTCACTTTATTTCCCACTCTAACTTATCTTATTATCATAAAATGTTTTCCCTTAAATTATCCACTATTTATGAACTCGCATCCTATACTACGGTTGTCCAAGACCCTAACTGGAAAATAACCATAGACAATGAGCTCAAGCTCTTAATTAACAACAACACATGAGGTTTAACCCCATTCCTCCTGACAACTGTGCCATCAGTTGTAAATGGATCTTTAAACTAAAGTTCTTAGCCAATGGTACTCTTGAGAGGTACAAAGCTCGCCTCGTAGCTAAAGGGTTTACCCAAACTGAGGGCCTAGATTATCATGACACTTTCGTCCCAGTTATAAAAATGACAACTATTTGCCTACTTATGTCCATAGCTGCCACTAAAAACTGGTTCCTACACCAACTAGACGTTAAACACAACCATTTTACATGGTGACTTAGACGAAGAAGTATACATGAAAATTCCTCATGGGCTCAGAGTTCCTAGTAAAAACATTGTTTGCAAACTCAAAAGATCCATATATCGGCTCAAACAAGCGAGTCGGCGATGGAACTATAAGTTAACCACCACTCTCACATCTTTAGATTTCCTTCAATCCAAATATGAGTACTCTTTATCCACTAAGACAACTTGTATTTTCTTTACTGTTGTTTTCGTCTATGTTGATGATTTGGCAATTACAGGTAACAACATGAGTGAAATCAATAATTTAAAGCAGGTTTTGGACAAGGCTTACAACATCAAGGATCCTAGTAACCTCAAGTATTTTCTAGGCTTCAAGGTTGCTCAAAACTTTACAGGAATCTCCCTCTGCCAACAAAAATATTGTCTGGATGTTCTTAGCTGCTAAACCAGCTTCGACACCTACGGATCCCAGTCACATTCTGCATTCTAATAATGCCCCGACCATACCAGATCCTACAAAGTTCTGAAGTATCATAGGTAAGCTAATATATTAAACAAACTCGCGACCTGACATTAGTTTTGTTGTTTGCAGACTGAGCCAACACCTTGTTGTGCCCACGGATCTCCATATGCAAGTTGTTTTTCGCATCATGCGCTACCTGAAAAATGCTCCAGCTGTTAGTTTGTTCTTCAATTCCAACAATAACCTCAAACTAATAGGATTTTCAAATTCTAACTGGGGGCATGTCTAACCACGCACCATTCCATAATTGGTATATGCTTCTACTTAGAAACATCTCTCATTTTATGGAAAAGAAAAAAACAATACACTGTTTCTCAATCATCTTCCGAAGTTGAATATCGTGCATTGGCAAACACTACTTGTGAAGCCACTTGGTTGAAGTTCCTACTTACAGATTTCAACATCTCACCATCATTTACTGTGACAATAGAAGCGCAATGCAGATTGCTATCAACCCAATCTTTCACAATGCCCAAAACGTATTGAAATTGATTGCCACGTGATTTGGATAAGATTCAAGACCAGATCATTCATTTAATGCCAATAGACTCCGCCAACCAAGCTGTTAATATCTTCACGAAATCTCTTCACTATGAGCCATTTTCCAATCTTATTAGCAAATTAGGATTGATAGATATTCATTCTAGTTTGAGGGAGGCTATTAAATTAGAATAAGTATTTGTTATACTTTGTTTTTCTAACCGTTATAATTAGTTATTAAGTCACCTACTTTCTAAGAGTTTTTAGACTATTTAATGTAGATTCCTTCTTTTGTAATTGCAAGTGTTTAGATATTGTTTTTTAATGAAACTTTTACTTTTTAAACCACTTTTGCAATGCCAGATAATAATATGTTAATAAAACATAATATATATATATATATATATATATATATATATATATATATATATATATATATATATATATATATATATATATATATATATATATTATATATATATATATATATATATATATATATATATATATATATATATTATATATATATATATATATATATATATATATATATATATATATATATATATATATATATATATATATATATATATATAAAAGATGTAATTGTTGGTGCAAAGATAGAATAAATGATGAAATAGGAAATATTACTAATAAGAGAATGACGGCTACAAAACATGACATTAGGTTACAATGATTGTCACCCTATTTATAAGCTAAAACTAGGGTTACTAGAATAGGATAAATACTAAAATACCCTCTAACAAACTTATGGGCTAAGAAAATAGTACAACTAAATAAATATGAATTATCATTAATATTCTAATACCATCCCTTAATTCATATTCCATCAAAACTTGTAACACCAATTCCATCCCTTAATCTGAGAAATTGATCAGTCTTGATAGCTTTCGTCAGAACATCTGCCAACTGCTTCTGAGTGCTGCAGTGTACAACTTCTAGCACTCCACTCTGAACTTGATGTCTCAGAAAATGATACTTGGTCTCAATATGCTTGCTTCTCCCATGCAGCACTGGGTTTCTGGCAAGGTTGATTGCAGACTTGTTGTCAATCATCAACTTCAGAGGTTTGTCTACCTTAATCTTCAGATCCTGCAACAGATTCAGAATCCACACAGCTTGGCATGCAGTAACAGCACCTGCAATGTATTCAGCTTCACAGGTTGACAACGCCACAACAGGTTGCTTCTTGGAACACCAAGAAATGGGACCTCCCAGAAATTTGAACAAGTACCCAGATGTACTTCTTCTGTCAACTCTGTCTCCACACCAATCAGAGTCTGAATAACTCAGAAGTTCTGACTCATTATTTCCTCCAGAGGGAAATAACACTCCATACTTCAGAGTTCCTTTGATATACCTCAGAATCCTGACAGCAGCTTGGTAATGGGACCACTTAGGTTTACTCATGAACCTACTAACCATCCCAACTGAATAGCAAATATCAGGTCTGGTATTGCACAGATACCTCAGAGAACCAACCAACTGTTTGAAGGTTGTAGCATCCACATCCTTTCCTTCAGAGTCTGAATCCAGTTTCTGATTTGTATCAGAAGGTGTGACAGCCATCTTACAATTCTTCAGATCAAATCTCTTCAGAAGTTCTAATTCATACTTGAGCTGATGCAAAATGATACCTTTCTCAGAATATCTGAACTCCATCCCTAGAAAGTATGTCATTTTGCCTAGATCAGTCATTTCAAATTCATTCATTAGAACCTTCTTGAACTTGGCTATCTCCTGTTCAGAACTTCCAGTCAATAGTATATCATCAACATATAAACATACCAGAGTCATATTGCCTTCAGAAGTATGCTGAACATAGACACCGTACTCCATCTCACATTTCTGAAAGCCTTGTTTCTTGAAAAATGAATCAATCTTCTGATTCCAAGCTCTGGGCGCTTGTTTCAGTCCATATAGAGCTTTGTATAATCTGTACACCATCCCTTCCTGATTCTTTTTCTCAAATCCAGGAGGTTGTGACACGTAAACTTCTTCTTCTAATGGACCATTCAGAAATGCAGATTTTACATCTAAATGCATCAGAGGCCAATTCCTGTTAGCAGCTATTGCAATCACCATTCTGATTGTTTCATGTCTTGCTACAGATGCAAACACTTCAGAATAATCCAGCCCAGGTTTCTGTAGAAATCCTCTGGCTACCAACCTTGCTTTATGTTTGCCAATTGAACCATCTGGCTTTAACTTCTGCTTGAAAACCCATCTGACGCTGATGGCTTTCTTGTCTTTTGGAAGTTCTGTCAGCTTCCAAGTCTTGTTTCTCTCTATAGCATCAAGTTCTTCTTTCATGGCCTTCAGCCAGAGCTTCTGCTTAAGAGCCTCCTCTGTACTTATAGGTTCAGAGTCTACTAACATGGCACACTGAATAACTTCTCCTTCAGAGTCTACTTCAGTGTCTTGCAGCATGTCAAATTCTGCAAATCTTCTGGGAACGCTTCTGATTCTTTGTGGTCTCTGAACTTGTTCAGAGTCTTGAGCTTCAGAGTTTCTAACTTCAGATGATTGACCTCTAGAGCTTTGACCATCTTCAGAGTCTGGCATATTTCCAGAGTCTGAATTGCCACCAAGATCTGGATTGCCATCAGAGTCTGAATCATCAGAGTCTGGGTCATCAGAGTCACCTTCATCTTCTGAGTCATCTTCAGAGTTTGAATCAGTATCAGAGTCAGAGTCAACGTCAGGGTTTACTTCAACTTCAGAAATTCTTAACTCTGGCCTTTCTTCAGAGGTTCTAACATCAGAATCAGATTGAGACTTATCCCAATTCCAAACTTCTGATTCCTTCACAATCACATCTCTGCTGAATTCAATTTTATTGGTTTCTGGACAATAGAGCTTGTATGCACCTGTACTGTGGTACCCTATCAGAATCATTACTTTGCTTTTATCATCCAGCTTCTGTCTTCTGGCTTCTGGAACATGTTTATAGCAAACAGAACCAAATACCTTCAGATGACTAACACTTTGCTTGTCTCCAGTCCACTTCTGCATAGGAACTATTTCCTTCAACTTCTTCGTAGGACATCTGTTGAGTACATACGTTGCAGTGGCAACAGCTTCTCCCCAGAGCTTCTGAGGAAGCTTCTTCTCCTTTAGCATGCTTCTCACCATATCAAGCAAAGTACGGTTTCTTCTTTCAGCAAGACCATTGTGTTGAGGGGTATAAGGAGCAGTAACCTCATGCTCAATTCCATTCTCCTCACAGAACTTCTGGAACTCTTTGGAGTTATACTCACCTCCACCATCAGTTCTAAGAATCTTCAACTTCTGACCACTCTGATTCTCAGCCTTCATTCTGAACTTCTTGAATTCATCAAACACCTCGTGTTTGAACTTAATAAGGGATACCCATGTCATTCTTGTGAATTCATCAACAAACAACACAAAGTATTTATTCCCTCCAATTGATGCTACTGGAAATGGACCACACACATCAGAGTGTACAACTCCCAAGGCATGTTTTGCTCTTGGAGCAACTTCTGATGCAAATGGCAATCTTGGTTGTTTTCCTTCCATGCAAACTTTGCATGACTTTTCAGGCTTCTTAATTGCAGGAATTCCATGTACCAATTTCTTTGAATTCAGATGTTGTAAGCTTCTGAAATTCAAATGACCAAATCTTCTGTGCCACAGCTCACTCTCCTTCTCAGTACTTGTTGCACTAAGACACTCTGAGTCTGCAGTTCTGACATTCACCTTGAATGTTCTATTCCTTCCCTGTTCTGACTCCATAATCAACTTCTGATTACAGTCATACAGCTTCAGAAGATTGTCCTTCATGGTAACTGAGAAACCTTTCTCAATTAATTGCCCCACACTCATCAGATTGCTTCTGATGCCAGGTACATACCACACATTCTGAATCAATGCTATTTTTCCATTGTTCAGAGTCACTCTGACATTTCCCATACCTTCTGCATTAAGATATTTGTCATCAGCACATCTGATCTTTGTTCTCTTTTCAGAGTCAAAGTCAACCAGCCATTTCTTGTTTCCAGTAAGATGATTTGAACAGCCAGTGTCCATATACCACCAGTCTGTCAGATCATCAGATTCAGAGGCCATCAATAGCACAGATTCGTCATCAGAACTTCTGGCTATATTTGCTTCTTCTGATTTCTTCTCCTTGTTTGACCAACAATCTCTAGCAAAGTGACCAAACTTCTTACAACAGTAACATTGTATTTTTCTTTTGTCATACTTCTCTTTTCCCCTCTGAGCATTCTTTTGTCTATCAGAGGTTGAGCTTTCTGACTTCTGACCACCATCAGATCTTCTCTTGACTTCTGACTGCTTCTGATACCTCCTATCAGAAGTTGCTTTCAGAGCTTGCTGCTCTACTTCCCTTTCAGAAGTTCTCTCAGTCAAACGCAACTCTTGCGCTTCTAAACTGCTCTGCAGCTCTTCAATTCTCATTGTGCTCAGATCTTTGGAATGTTCTATTGCTACCACAATGTAATCAAATTGAGGAGTAAGGGATCTCAATACTTTCTCCATGATTGTTTCTTCAGAAAGAGTTTCTCCACATGCCTTCATCTCATTAGTGATCAGAATCACTCTGGAGATGTATTCAGAAACTTTCTCATTATTCTTCATGTTGAGATTCTCATATTGCTTTCTCAAGGACTGAAGCTTCACCTTCTTCACTGATGCGTCACCACCATAACATCTCACCAGAGTGTCCCATGCAGCCTTTGCTGTTGTAGAGTCTGCAATCTTCTCAAACACGTTTACATCCACACATTGATGAATGAAGAACAATGCTTTCTGATCCTTCTTCCTTACTTCCTTCTGCGCGTTTTTCTGTTCATCAGTTGCATCTGCTGCTACTGGAACATAACCATCAGTGACAAGATCCAGAACATCTTGAGCACCAAACAGTACACGCATTTGGATCATCCAACGATTCCAGTTTTTACCATCAAATACTGGAAGTTTGGTGTTCATGTTGCCGTTTCCGTTCATCTTCTACTTTGCACAATACACTCAGAGTTTTCTCACACAGTGTTTCCCAACCCACAGAATTAAAGAATTCTGATCAGATTTTGTTCAAGATTCAACAAGAATCTGAGAAACAAAATCAAACACACAAGACCTCACGTTCACTCGTGTTTCCCGTGTTTCCCAATGAATCTGAACCGGAGCTCTGATACCAATTGTTGGTGCAAAGATAGAATAAATGATGAAATAGGAAATATTACTAATAAGAGAATGACGGCTACAAAACATGACATTAGGTTACAATGATTGTCACCCTATTTATAAGCTAAAACTAGGGTTACTAGAATAGGATAAATACTAAAATACCCTCTAACAAACTTATGGGCTAAGAAAATAGTACAACTAAATAAATATGAATTATCATTAATATTCTAATAGTAATAAGATGTAATGGATAAGGCAATTAATACACATGTAAACGTTACGAACTTGCGCATAGAATAACTTCGTTGATGTCGGAAAATGTATTAGTTGAGCTTAATCTTTTGAAGATTCACCTGGATCCATCCTTTTAGATCAGATGTAATTAATGTTTTTGGAAGTGAAATTTATTGTTTTGATTAAAAAAAGATTTTATCAAAGTTTTAATATTAACATTAAAAATATTCAACTTTTTTAATGACAAAATATATGGTAAAATAAGTACAACTATATAAAAGGTAGAAAGCCTTCCAAAATCATCAACAAGTCTTCCAAACAACAATACCATCAACAAAAGATTTGGAAATTCAATCCTACAAAACCATCAATTTATACATGCACAAAATGAAGTTTGTCATTCACTATGAGAATGTGCAAGAAACACAAGAGGTTTTAGCTAGAAACTACTTCCAACATCCTCCCTAAAGAGCTTTCAAATTACTTTAAGAAAAATAAAATTAAAATTGTTTGAACTTGGACTTGTATTCCCCTCAGACTGGGTTACCACTAAATTAATCTTAGAAAGACTTAAGGGAGCATAAATGACCTCTTGATCCTTGTGAGTGATAAACCAAAAACCAACCCCGTCCAAATATACTCTTTCATGATAAGAATTGAAGAATTGATTGGTAAAAAATTGTAACAACCTCTTATCCCACCTTATCTACCTTTTTCACCTAAGTATCACCAACTCTTAAGGTACTTATGGTATTTCTCTTTATCTTACTCAAATAACCCTAAGCTATAATGTATCATACCTAAAAACTATTTAGATAATACGTGTATGTCAAATAAAAATGGAATGAGTAACTTATGGAGTGAAACTTTAGAGACATGCAATGTAATGCAGTTAAGTAGAACTTCAAAGTCGTGTTAAGGTTTAATTCAATGGAGTTGAAGCTGTGAGAATGCTTGAAAGTGATGGGACAATCTCCGAGAACACAAATGAGGAAAAGTTGTAGTTTTGCTCTATATGTAGAAATGAAAATGGAAAGAGAGAGGGGAAGGTGTGAATACTTAAATAGACGCATCCGAATATCAATCATCGTATGAAATATGAACATTGCAATCCAAAGTATTTTTAAATTGTGTGGCTCTTAGGTTGGGCATGAGTCTGATGTGTTGAGACGCGTCCGGAGTTCAACCTTCGTAATTTACAAATAATGATTCCAAAGTTTAAAATTTTTAATTCTTGTTTTGGCATATTCCAAAGAGACTTTGTTATGTATTAAATTCGTCCAAATTTTATAATCTGATTTATATAATTATTTTTGTAATTTCATTGGAGTATATCAGTATATCATGGTAATCCTCTTGTTATGACTACTCCAAATTAGAGTGGTTTATACGGCCCAAAAATACCCCTACCATTATCCCCTACCCTTACTTTTTTTTAAATATTCCAATTTTACCTCTTTTTTTAATCAAATAACTTGTATTAATTCAAAGGGACAACAAAAGTACAAGGCAATCACTCAAATCCAACCCTAAAAAAAGACAAATCGACCAAAAAAGGGGAATTAAAACATCATTAACTTAGCAATATGAATTCTAAGATCCCCTATATATCATCCCCTATACATAGTGCTATCTAACATATTCTGCGTTATCTTAGTATTATCTACACTATTGTCATAATTAATGTCGACACGATATTTTCGGACCTCATAGAGGGTCTTCGTTACAGCCAATTTCAGCAAAGAGACCCTTCAGTCCTTACCTTTCGTGTTACGAATCATCCAATCCAACTCCTCATCCCATCCTTAAGGGTCATGCTTGACCTGGATCCACTTAAGGATTTGAGCCCAAATGCCTTTGAGTTTGTGACAGCTATAGAACAAGTGACTTAAAGTTTCCTCTTGGGGGCAAAAGCAACAATTGGTATCACTCAACATCCCAAACTTGATAGGGCGATGTTTGGTGGCGAGCCGACTGTGGCACGCAAGCCACAAGGTAATATGTGCCCTTGGCCTTGCATCATTCCTTTAAAACAGCCCGCACCAAGGCACCCTAGGCACACTTTGTCTGATCATGTTGTACATATCTTTCATGCAAAATTTATCTTTGCACTACATTTCGTCTCATTTATGTTGGACATCCCTAATAATGTCTCTATAATTCAACACCTTCTTCATGATCCAAGAATGATTGGTCTTCACAATAGCTTCCATATAGTTGAGCTATTTGAAGTAATAAGTATGAACCCATTTCACCCAAAGGCTATTTGATTTAACGTTGATATGCCAAAAAGTTTCAGCATCGCCACTCTATTCCAAGTCATTAGGTTGATGATGCCTAAACCACCACAGTTTTGAGGACAATACAACATGTCCCAAGATACAAGACTCTTCCTGCTAGTATTTTCCCCCGGTCCATAAGAAGGTTCGATAAGTTGAATAAATCTTATGGATAACATGGAGGGGAATGGGAAAACATTGCATCTAGTAGTTTGCAATGGCAAATGTGACACTCCGGATAAGCTGAACCCGCCTAACATAACTCAAAATGTTTATGCTTCAATGTTTAATACGTCCCACAATCGTATCCACCATAGGTATGTAGTGATGAGTAGATAAATTTCTACAAGTTAAGAGCACTCCTAGATACTCGAAGGAAAGGGGGCCCTCTCTAAAATTGGTGATGGTGACGATGTTATATTTGGCTTCAACATTCATCCCACAAAAGAACACATTACACTTGATAGGGTTTAACTAAGGCCTGTAGACTTGGTGAAGGAATTGAAAGCTTCCATCATGAGTTCAATAGATCTTGTATCCCTTCTAGAGAATAACAGAACATCATCAACAAATGCCAAATGTGTGATATTAAGTTTGTTGCATTTGGCATGATGGTTGTAATCTGGGTTCAGTTGCATTCGATGTAAAACTTTGCTCAAGTATTCCATAACCACAATAAATAACAAAAGGGGTATTGGGTCCCCTTGCCTAATTCCACGATAGCCTTCAAAATCCTGGACTGATTCCCATTGATGTCGAATCTATAGAATACAGTAGTTACAACAAGCATGATCCAAGATATAAACTAATTAGGAAATCCTATCTCTTTTAAGATGCACTCAAGGGCAGTCCAATTCACCATATCATATGCTTTATGGAGGTCGATCTGTATCATACATCTAGGGGCTATATTTCCTTGTGTAGCCTTAATCAACTCAAATGCTAGAAGGATGTGATTATGAATATTCTGACATGATACAAAAGCAACTTGGGATTTGCTAATGAAATGGCCAAGAACCTTGCTCAACCTATTAGTAATTATTTTGGAGATTATTTTGTAGACATTAATGCACAGAGCTATTGGTCTATACTCTTTAATGGTCTTTGCTTTCTCATTTTTTTGGTAGAAGAGTTACCAGGGTATTGTTAAAGGCCTTGTACAAGTAGTTATCTTCGAAGAATTCCAAAAATACAAAAATAACATCACCTTTAATTACCAACCAACTAGCTTTGAAGAACTTGGCTCCAAATTCATCGATTCCAAGTGCTTTCAGATCCCTAATACCACTTAGGGCTGGAAAAAATTCCCTGCTCAACAATAGGGTCCACAAGTCGTACTCTTTGCTCCATGCTCAATTGGGGCCCTCCCTTCATAGCCAAGACATCAACATGTTGACCTGTACTGTCAGAGGTACTCATCAACCCAATGTAAAAGTCCAGCACTTCATCCTCAATGTCTGTTGGTGATGCCAACTAGATCCTTTTTACTTATAGTTTTTTTCACTACTATTCAATTTTTACCAACTTCATAAAGTTTTTTTAAAATGAATTTTTTTTCACCCCTACCATTATTCACCAGATACCTTACCATAAGTTATTCGATAGCCATCAAGTTACTTACCGGATAACTTACCATAAGTAATCTGGTAGTCATCAGTTTGTTCACCGAATAACTTACAATAAGTTATCTGATAGTCATCAGTTTGTTCACCGAATAATTTACCATAAGTTATACGATACACACTTTTTTAGATTATTTTTTATTAATTTTAATTATTATTATATATTTTTAATTTTATATAAAATTGATTTTCTTTTGTATTATTAATCTAAAAATAGATAAAATAATTTATTTAACACAAATGACTTAATTTAAAATTCATATAATCTTTAATTTAAAATAAATAGCCTTTAATTTTTTAAATAACTTATTGTGGCTTAATAATTCATTTAAATATCCTTTATGGATTTACTTTAAAAAAATTTAGTAACTTCATATTACACAATGCCAAAAAAAAAAGTTGGAAACATGTTATTGTAGATATCAAGTTTATTAGATCAAAATCGTTGAAAATCTTAAATGTTAGCAGTTGACTATAAAAAATAATATTAAGTTACTTTTTAATTTAATTTAATTTTTAAATAAATTAAAACTTTAAATTAATTTTCACCAAAAAATTGTAGTGTTAGAATAACAGTGGGCTACGCCTAGGGCGATACCTCTATACAACCTAAGGAGAGGCGACATGTAATTGTCGCCCAAACAGAGGTATCTCATCGCCCCTTGGAGTTTCCTATCGCCCATCA